GGTAAGACCTTGCTTCTACCAAACATTCATTCCTGTTTCGGAATGTAACAGTTTAACTCCTTGAATATAACCTACCTATTACTATAATGAATACAGAACCAGCTGTACGTTTGGTTAACATGTAATAACTGCCATAAATTAGAGACCCTTATTCAACAGTATCTCTTCAATTAAGCAACAGTATAAGCTGGCCACCGCCACAGTTTGAGTTCTCCAGTTCTGCCTGTATACCATAAAGATAGATAAAGCATATGTTAAACAGCAAAATAAGCATATGACCATTAATTGCATGTCATTAGCCCTCATATTTACCACTCAAATTTACCAGTGCAATCACTGGAAGAAGATGAATATATTCCTCAAATGTTATGTGTTTTGTTAAATCAAAATCTTCCGTGTTTTGTTGAAAGTAGCCAAATGTAGTTGTTTCCTCCCATCTTTTCTTTATATTTATCTATTTATTAAAACACAATTATTTTTTCTGAAACCCATTAGGAAGATGATGACACTCAGAGTAACAACAAACCAGTGGAATCTGAAATGAGTAGAAGTGTTCAATCTTGTCATCTATTGCTCATTTATTCCAAAACCATTTGAAATATTAACATAGTGAGAAAATACAAATGAAATTAATTACTGAAAAGTGACAGAGAAAGAAAATTAGAAAATGCAAGTGCTAAATTCAAGAAAGTAATTTAGGAACTTAGGAAACTAATACATCCTTCTATCCCAATAGACAGACATACACTTTTATGCACTTATAATGTTAATTTCATCCTGAAGTAGTAACTTTATATTACAACAGTGATTAATAGTCTTGCAGTTCTAAAACATGCATGCCCTTGTACAGAACCTGCAAAACCGACAGTGTAAGATCCACTTTATAGTCAAAATTACCATCCATCATGAGGAAAAACAATCTCCAGCTATTGAGCTGCTTCTATCGTGATTCCTCCTAAGACACTGCCCTTAGTCTTCCACAAGCTCCACTGAAAAGCAGAGGGAAATGCTTAGGGCCACTCTAGACTTCATTTTCAATACATACGCCTAAACATTAATAAATTAACCTAAAAGATGCTGAACTACCAGCATGCCCTGATACTTAAATTCTCATTGAAATGCCTTCAAACTAAACTTACTATTCAGTGATACATTTGTTCTGCTACCTTCCCCTACCTTAACAGGAAACTTCAGGGACTTTTGCCTGATAAGCACGTAAGTCACGTAGCGAGATCCGTATTTGTGAAGCACACTTCTGAGAACTGGGGGCTTTATTTTGTGACCTCCTATAGCAGCTCTCCTCCGTGATTCACAACGTATTATTTTGCCTCCTGTGGCAACAGTATTTATTTCTTTGGCAAAGGAAGACTAGTGACAGAAAGGATGCTATGATGAATTGTGGAACTGCCTTTTATCACAGTAAAAGGGCATGCTTCGCCTTAAAATGAAGTGGCAGAAAGAGGAAATGGTATGAGGAATTAGACACAGACCAGAACCACAGGTTGTTGGGCAAGAGCCTGCAATCCCCTTCTTCAAGCAAGTATTTCGCACGTGGCTGCGGGTGCCCGGTGCTGACACTAACTTACTGGAAATGTGTGTACACACCTCCCAGTTTCTTTTAGCGGCATTTCCTGTAAACGCAGATGTAAAAAAGGTGCGAAGTGGCATCTGAAAAGCTAAATCTCAGTTGTTTAATTCCGCAGCCACACACTGCAGTAGGTGGTTAGCTGCAGCTCGCTTTGAGGAAGGATTAAACTTTCTACACAAAAAAAAAAAAAAAATTGACGCCAGCTCAGTGACTAGAGTAATTTATAATTAAAATGCCTCAGTATGAACGTTATCACATCAGCGTTGTCAAATTTACCCCTTTTGCCTCC